TGAAATATTATATTTCACAAGTGTCAATACTAGCAACGGAAAATATCATGTCTGCCGTTTTTATGTGTGATAACAGAACCTAAATCGAGGTAAGGCTAGGCCTAGCCAGCAGCGTTGGATAGGTTAATGTTTTCGGCGCCTACGATATTTCTTCTCACGACCTATCGCAAAATCAACATGAAAAATTCATCCGCATTTATTTTTTGTGTGGAAAAAAAAATCAAATTTCAGTCTTATTTTACATTGTTTTCATTCTTAGGAATGTCTAAATTCAGTTAAACTAGCAATTCCGTATTATATTTATAAATCTTTATAATATTACACAAAAATTAGATTTTTCTTAAAAACTGAAATTTTGCCAGGAATGGGGCTTTAACATTGTTGTGTATTTAATTCAGTTGCCATGCTGTGACATGGATAACTTTTTTGTCAGATAATGTTCATGTTCATAAACTATGAGGGCAGCATACTGAAATTGCAGATGGGAATATCACCACTTCCTGTATTAGCGTATACACATAAATAATAACAGTAATCATAAAAAATATAGTCTAGTGGAGCATACATATGCAGGGGCAGATCCAGAAATGTCCAAAAGGGGGGGCCGAAAGTTGGGCCGATTGAGACAACACTGTCGTAGGGGGTCGGGGGCATGCCCCCGCGAAATTTTTGTGTTCTAGACGGCCGAACATAACATTTGAGGCATTCTGGGCTATCATTTTTTTCTTTTTCTCTCTTTTTTTTCTTTTTTTTACCTCCCAAAAGGGGGGGCCGGGGCCGGGCCGGCCCCCCCCTAAATCCGCCCCTGATATGCATTACTCACCTATAATTAGTTCAAATTAATCTTTTACCATCATGAAGGTCGAAGGTTGAAGGTCACTAGTTTATTCTTTCAGCATCTCATAATAGGGAGCTTTCGATTTGTGAGACGATGCGACGCAGAACGGAATCACTTATGCGTGACCGTCCTACCTGACGTCCTACGTTCTTTACATATGCAGATTTGGCCAAATTGCGTTCCAGAATCTACTCGACGAGGTGACCTTAACGTTCTCACATGCGCAGATGACTTTAAGTGACGTCATTACGTTCTACGTCCTACCGTTGTCGTGCAATCGAAAGCTCCCTTTTTCTCCACTAGCATTTCGTCACGCTCATTGAGTCAACCACCTAAACGTTTATATACAGTAGCAAACATCCCAACAGATTTCCCCAAAGTATAATTTTGCCACACAATTTTTTTGCATCATTATCCTTATTATCATTCATCATGTATTACTAACATCACCACCAACATCATTATTGTCATCATCATCATCATCATCATCATCATAATCATATCAAAATCATATGATCATTTTCGTCATCATTATTAAAAGCGTATACATCAAGTATAATATTACATACTTGTACACCATTGCAATCATAAAATATAGTTTTTAACAACATTCTCTTGACTGTCATCTTTAAATTATTACTATTATTATATATTATTATTTTGATTTGTTCATACAGGTTTAATGTAAATTTAAAGTACACAGTTTATTGTGCAGCCGCTCGGAATGGGCTTTCCTCTGACTGGGAATTTCTTTGGGAATCGTATTTGGAAACAAAGGTGGCATCGGAAAAAAACGTCTTGATGGCAGCCATGGCTTGTACAAGTGATCCATCCCATATCTATAGGTATGTATAATTATTATTTACGTACATTTATTAATCTATTAGTTAAAGATATACCGTCCTTGAAAAGTGCCTGAAAAATTAAACATTGGTATAATTTAATGTCCACTCCTCAATTATTATCAATATTTTGACCTTTTGTGCAAAACATATAATGTGGTAATGCTTTATGCAAATGAGTAAATTCAAATGACTGCATTATAAACAATATAATTAATAACATTCTAAAAAATCTATTGTTCAAAAAAGAGCAAATTTGAAATGTTCCTTTGATATGCTAAATTCTTGTTTTCATGTGGCATTTTGTAGCTGACTCATCAATAATAAAAATTCAACTAAATTGAACATGCCACAATAAGAATATATTACAATATATAAAATATTAAATACTGTATTAAAAGTGTATGCATTAAAATTTGATATGTACAAATATTGAGTTATTTTTTTTAATGTTTTTTAAATTGATTTAATTAAATTTTTATTTTTAATGTTTTTTAACTTAAAAATGTACTTAGTTAAATTTTTATTTTAATGTTTTTTTTAAATTTAATGAGTTGCATCTTATTTGTCCATACATTACAGTACTTTTTCCCTGTTACTACTTTTTATACTACTTGTGTATCACCTTTCCTTGAGATATTAGAAAGCTTTTGATTTCACAACGACGGTAGGACGTTGAATGTAATGATGTCACTAAAGTCGTCTGTGCATGCAAGATTGTTAAGTTCGCCTTGTCACATGGATTCCAGGATGCAATTTGGCCAAATCTACGTAAGCAGAGAACGTAGGAGGCCCGGAAGGATGAACATGCATGAATGATTCCATTCCAGTGTCGCGTCGTCGCATGAATCGAAAGCTCTCTAATGAAACTCTAGAACACTCCTACTCTTGTCATATCCCTATGAGCAAAGCTTACACAAAGATTAATGCCAAACTAGGCATGCTTCACTCAATACAGGGATGTACTGTAGGAAAAGCCAACTACAAAATTTATCTTATTAAGTAAGTCATTGACAAGAAAAAAAAAATTAATTTCAGTGTGTACAAATTTATATTAAGACACTTGTTAAATGCTATAAATATCGTATTAAATTTCCCCTTTTCAATAAACGCCCACCCCCTCTAAAAGCGGTTGATGCATCGGTTGTGGCTTGGACTCCCAACCTTGAGGTCAGGGGTTTGAAACTCTCGCTGTGCAAGTTGCTTGTGTCCTTGGGCAAGGCACTTTATCTGTTTGTCTTTGTCTAGCCAGGAGTATAAATGGTAGGATGTTACGGCATTGAATGTACTCATTTCGTGTGCTAAGCAAGTAGTGCACCACTAGGTATACTCCCCAGGGAGCAGAGAAGGTTGCACTTTGTGCTGGGTGCCATTGTATGTTATCCAGTGACTAGGGATAATAACACTCAGCACCTTCGATTATATAATTTGGAATTGGCGCTATATAAATATTTAAGCATTATTATTATTAAGCAATATTATTTGGAATGAACACCTCAGGGTTTTATTTTCTCCTGGAATAAACGTCCCTCTAAATGACTATAAGCAACATCATTACCAACACATTCTATTAATTTTCTGCTCCAGTAAAATTACATTTTTTCTAACCTACAAGTCTTTATGATCACGCATAATCACATTTTGACGGTATAATCACATTTTGACGGTAATTATGTGCTGTAGTTCCACATTTACAGTAAAATTAAGGAGAGTCTATTTGAGTATATACGTATCCATTATACAAAAAAAAATGCCACCCTCGAATAAACACCCCCCTTAAAACCCTTCTCACAATAAATGCCCTGGGGCATTTATTAAAATAAATATGGTAGTTGAATAAGTGGCAATGTAAATTTATGAGCACCTTGCTATTATAGTTATATTGAAAAGGGAACAAGAATAACCCAAATATGTAGACAGTTTTTCACAGTGTAACATTTCACAATAAAATATACAGAAACATCTATGAGGTGGATTAATGTAGATTGTTCTACCATGGATCTATTTGGTGTTTACAGGTACCTATATAGTACAGTTGACGGATCTGTTCGACAGCAGGATGTATCCATTGTCATCGCATCTGTGGCCTCAAACCCAATCGGTGCACAACCAGCTTGGCTGTTTCTACAGCAAAATTGGGAAAAGTTAACCGAGATGTAAGTATAACATCATTAATCTGATTTAGTCTATAAGCTCTCTGGATTTTAGCTTAGTGAAGTACGTCTGTATTCGTCTCCTGCAGTCGACCCTGTAGACGAAGCAGGCCTAGGGAACCCTGTGCCTCCAACACAGTAGCATGAAGCCATCACATTTCTGGGGTTTTGTTTTTTATTTAGGACACGCTGTATACAAATTGGGACATGTACTCTCTAATGAGAGGTCTGATAACAGCACAATAAACATATCTCAGTCTTTCTACACTATGGGTGCTGTCATTTCCGGTTTTGAAAATTGTGTTAATAAAATTACTCTTTTGTTTAACCTTGACACTTCTTTGTAATTTATTCATAAGCTTTCAATAACTGCAGATATCACATTCCCTAAAAGTGCTATCTTGATATTTGATCAGTCTGCATATAATGTTATTCATCCAAGGATGTTTTTTTGGATAAATTATTATGAAACAATAACAGTGCCGTGAATTAATCATGGTGTCAGCATTCAATTATTAATAACACTTTGTTGTGCAGTTTCGATTATACTGTAAAGAGAGTTGTAAAAAAGATAGTGTAATCCCTTAGATTTACAATTATATTTTAAAACTGATAAAACCTATTTTTATTAATATCACAATTTCTATACTTTACTGTTATTATCATTAATATCATTGATAGCTTGGAGTTTACACTCTAAATCGGTATGAATATAAAAATAAACGGGCAAATCAACATTTCTTGCACTTTGGTTAATGTTATAATTGTTTTAAGCCATTCCCCAATGTGCAGTAGTGTCCAAGATCCCTAACAGAATGCACAAGGTCCCCAATAAAGGATCCAAATTTCCTGATGGGGATTCAAATTCATCCACTGTATTTGGAGCAAATTGTAAGAATAGGTAGGCCTACCTCTAAATGCTGGGAAGTGGCACTTTCAGACTACAAAAATGTTGTTTTCAAAGCAGTATGACCTGAAAAAAAATTATTTTCTTCACCTCTATGGTGGTTAAAGGTTCCCTTAACAGGGGCTCTGAATCCTTAGATCCCTGCTGACCTGGGCACTATACTAAGCCTTTGTCATCATTGTTACTTCTCTGGCAGAATGCAAGTGCTTTGGTAATACTATGTGATATCTTCCTACAAATAGGTTTGGCACTAGTTCATTTGCTTTTGGTGGTATCATTGAAAGTTGTACAAGCAGTATTGCAAGTTCTGTTGAAGAACAACAGGTTAGTCAAACCATCAAACATCCAATTTTTTTTTTTTTTTTAAATTAAATTACAGTTCTATTTATTTAAACATTCAATAATGTTGATGAGGGACAGCCTAGTTTAACACAGAATTGTTGTATAATGCAGGGTCATGCGTAGTATCAATTAACATATTCCACAAAGTGTAGTCCTGCTATCATTATCAACCTCAAAATCTGCATTGACAGGTCTGTGTTTGGTTGAAATAATTAGTGTACTTTGTTCACATTGGATTTAATAAAACAGGTGTTGATATATTTTGTTTTTCACATTCCATTTTGCAGGCGAAAAATTTCTTTTCTGAACAGTTAGATGCAAGATCAGGATCACGTTCTATTCAACAAGCTTTAGAAAAAATGGAAATAAACGTAAATTGGTTAGAGAAAAATCAACACATTGTTAGACAATGGCTTAAATACTACAGCACTCCATAATACTTTAAATATTTTTGATTCCATTTTGAACATTTGAATTTTAAAGTACTAGTACATAGATATTATTGTTAGTCTTTCTAAAATGTTTGTTTTTAAAAATATATATTTATTTGAGTTTACTGATTATCTTTTAAGCATTTGTTTAAGGCGTTTGATAAAAATCTTATCCATATGCCTTATGTATAAGTAGGAATGTTCTGTATATACTTTGTTGCATTTTCCCCCAGTAAATACTTATTTCAACAATTGCATTATCTTTGAAATTTGACTATGCCTCCTGTCTTTATCAAGTATGGTACCATTGGCAAATAAGGGATGTAATTTATTCAGCTAATAAAAACACAAGCCGGGATAGGTCCTTGACAGTAGTATGGTGGTTATTTGTAATTGTGATTCTTCCCAGGAGCTTAAAACAAGCGGAATTTGCGAGAGTAGTTGTGAATACTCAATGATTTAATAACAGGTTAATTACACGTATAGATAATGGCAATCGACTATCAGGCTTCTTCTTAAAACATCAAATCCTTTGTCCCCAATATGGATGCTAAGTGCTGTTCCCATGTCACATGAATATACATAGATGTATATGTTGATAAATAGATTAATGAATGTGTAAATGCTTGCATGAAAAATTTAATTCGTATATACTATGTACAAGGTTACAGAGTTCTCACAATAAGAAAAATGTTTCCAGTTATTTTTTGTTTTCTTCTGTTTCACCTAAGAGGATAGTTTCAAAGGGATTCCTCTTTCCATGATAAATCCAATATTAGGGCATAACTGATCAATTTCAAACATCTGCATTTTTAAATTTAAAAGATTTTCATATTTTAATTCCAATTGGTATTGTTTTATTCTGGCAAATCGGACTTACTGTATTTTACATACCATCTCAAATAATTACAGAGTTTGTTATCAGAAGTCTTTAATAATTATAATAAATCTGGATTTTTCAATTAATGAATAAATTTCACTTATTCATTATTTGGTTTTTTTTAATTCATTTGCTTGTTTATAATATTTTTTTTTTTAATTTATTGTTTATTTTTTTAACATTACATACTTAACATATTTAGCTACGTGGTTATTAAGTTTGTTTAGTTTATTCTGTTATTTATTATTTCTAGGAAGATAGAGATGTAACAAAAATAGATAAAGGAAGCAAATACACAGAGCCTGGAGATATTCCCAATAGCAACCTGGATCATTATCAAAATAATATTCTACCTTAAACATGAATAGAGACCAAAAAAACAGCTGAAAACATAAATTCATGTCAACATTGTCATTACTTTCACTCAAACTATGATAGTTAAATGTATAAAATGTAGGCTTTACTTGAAATACCTGTGCATATAATAGGGCAATGTAAACCATTGTATTAGGTATTTAAAACTAAACTGTCAGTATAAATGATACTTTGTAATAGATAGGAAGAAAAAATATGCTAATAATAACCACGCTGCATATCTTGTGATGCACATTGCAAGACCATATGCATGAAAGTTAGGATCTACCAAGGTGCAGATATTTGACCATTACATGTAGTGAATATATATGTCATATTAATATTATTATTGTTACTGATATTATTATTATTATTATTACCACCATTAGTATTTTTATTATTATTATTACTGTTACAGGTATTATCGTTATTATTACTATTAATACTATTGTTATTAATAATGTTATATATTATTGTTGTTATTATTATTACTATTATTAATTTTATTTATTATTTTTATTATAGTCGTCATTGTTGCTGCTCTTATTCAGGCAGTGATGATAAGTCATTATTAATAATATTATTAGAAAAGTTACTGTTATTATTATCATTTATTATTATTACCATCATTATTGTTACTATTGTTATTATCGTTATTATTATTACTATCAATACTATTATTGATAGTACTATTTATTGTTATTACTATCATTAATATTGTTATATATTAGTATTGTTCTTATTATTACTATTTTTATTTATTATTTTTATTATGTTTGTTATTGTTGCTATTATTATTGTTGTTATTCTGGCCGTGATGATTTATAGTGTATACTCTGTACAATTACACGAATCTGATGATGAGGTAGGGTCATTATATTGTACTTTTTGAGGAGAAAATGAATGTAATGCAAGGGCCTTGAGGTAGCTGACAGTGTTCTGAAAGACCACCACTTAACAAACACCAATCTCTAACAAAATGACATTCATTAACACTTCAGGACACTACTTAAATCAAATTACCATACTTCTCTACTGTGTTTCCACACATCACAGACAATATTTTACATATCCAAAATTACACCAATTATCTTCCATTACATAATCGTGTGGCGCATAAAAACTGCTGCTTCAAATGTTAATGGATTTTGAATAAAAAGCATTAAATATTGTACGTATTCTGAAGTAGGCTAAGTCGGTTAGAGAGCAAACAGGTAATTTATATGAAATGCCCCAAGAGGTTTTTATATTATCATAATCGTATCAATCCTGTATCCACGAGTAATGTTGATAGGTGAATGTACGTATGAATCTCATTTCTTGCACAAGTGACGTATACATGAATTTGATATATTTTGCAAATTCAATCTAAAGAATGTATTATGATTGCTTGTATTTTTAAACTAGTGTATAGTTATACTATATAATGTTTAATCAACTGGCTCATAGTACATACCTTTTAATAATAAACTTCCTGCAATAATACGCAGACCTTTAAACTTGAGCAACAAGCCATATACCGTGCCATTATGTCTCTTTTGCGTCAGTATATCTGGGGATTTCCCCACATTAATTACGTTTTTCTTCAAGATTTCTAAATCTCAGACCAAAATTTGTATTTGTTATGTTCTTTATATGTACTGTAGCACCACGTCCAACATTAAATACATTCATACATTATTTAATAGAACAGTTATAAAGGCAAGGAAGCTTTTAGAAACGCACCATTGCCTCCATGTGTGAAATTGAGGGCAAACTCTTAATAACAACAATAATGGTCATAATGTTTAATATTATTGTCAAAATGTCACTAGATATTGTATAGCATATGTTCTGCGAACGCATGGTTTAATTACATGTTTGGTGCCATTTGTTGAAAATCAAGCATATTTGTTCATTCAAATTTAAGTTTAGCATAAACATTTTTTCAAGACATTTATCGAATGTCCAATAATGGCATGAACTCTGCTTTGGTCACAAAGCACCGTGAATAATTGGTGCTGTATCATTTTGAGAACATTCTTCCCAATGAAAGTTAAATGATAATGGTACCTACACTACTATTTCCCCCAACCCCACTATACCAACACCACCACCACTTTATCTATGGCGTAACGGTGGAGCCGGGTGCTGTGGATTTTTGAATGTGGTCGTCAAGTCCATTGTGGGATTTTTAGATGTGCTCGTTTTTTAATTATGTTTGTCATTGCATTCTAAATGTTTTTAACGACAAAGTAAATTATATAAGTGGCGAATCCAGGAATTTATTAGGGCCCAGGGAGAGACTTTCACTGGGCCCTGACGGTAGTAAATGGGGGAATTTTCCCCACGGCAGTAAATAGGCGGGGTCGGGGCCGCCCAGGAACACTTGGAGGGTTTCGGGGGAAGTTCCTGGACGCTTTCTACAATTTAGGGATTTAAGAAGCTTATCTGCCATTTATTGTCTTATAATCTAAAATTTCATGGGATATTTTTTTTCTCTCCAACGAAATATGTTGGCAGGTCTCCCCGACGAGGGATTCCCCCTGTCCCACTGATTGTATCCTCCTACTGTTACCTTTGTATTAGCTCAACATACACTGGGTGTATTCAATAGTTGATACATAGAAAACATACTGAAATGAATTTGTATTTCTAGATTATGTTAATGAAAACCTGAAATATGATGCCTAACTTCATATTGGCTTATAAGTATTGTAATGATTTATTATAACTTACACCGTAGCAGCACGGTGTCAGTCAACTTCATACTAGCATACTAGCAATGTCGGTATAGCACCCATGCTACATTTGTCAGCCAGTATTATCAATATGACGGTACTGCCACCAGCTTTATTTTAAAAACAAATGTTACCAGCTACGGTAGCACTGCCATCAGTTTCTGCACTATCTTCACAGTGGCGGATCTAGAGATGTCCGAAAGCCGGGACCGATTTATAGACAACAATACCTGGGGGTCGTTTGGCATGCCCCGGGGAATCCCTTTTTCTAGATGCCCCGAAATAACCTCAGAGGCGTTTTGGCTCCTCGTAGCAACAGTGCCACTATCCTCAACGTGACAGAATTGTCCCCGGCTTCAGCACAGCTGCACTGTCGCCAATAATTATATGGCAGCACTGCTACTATATTCAACATGACAGAACTGTCAGGGGCGGATTTAGAGGCCCCCCCCCCTTTTTTTTTTTGGAAAGTAAAAAATAAAAAGAAAAAGAAAGAAAAAATGATCGCCCAAAAGGCCTCAGAGGTTATTTTCGGCGTCTAGAACACAGAAATTTGAATGCCCTCGGACCCCCTAGTGTATTGTTATTTCGATCGGCCCCCCCCCCCCCCCCCCCCCCCCCCCCCCCCCCCCCCCCCGCTTCAGCATGGTTACACTGTTAGCAAAACTTGTTACCGACCATCACCACCTCTTTCATTGGAAGCAATTGCTTTCACACTCTAAGGTATGCGGAAACAACTAGTATTCGACACACACAGGTGGAACAGCGATCAAATTGATGTGCCCTCTTCTTGAGCGTCTTCAATATGCAAGGCGAGATCTAAGAAGAGATACTTTTTTTACAAGGAATGTTTATATTATATATGTCGCAGGTTCGAATCCTGTCGGAGGCATTTTATTACACAATGTATTCATAGGACAACATTCGTTGACAGCTATGCTACCATCATGCCCTTTATTCGAACACTATTTACTTCTCTTTGATAATATATATGTATATAGGCCCTATATATAAATATACAGACTTGTCCTTGGCACTTTTGCTTAAAGCATAATGATTAAAAATATATACAGGTTACCAACATCGAAGATTAAAATAAAGAAATATGCCCTTCGGTCGCCTTCAATGAGAAGAATGAAGAAAATACATATACAGTCATAACATACATTTTCAAAATGCTCTTCAAAATTTGAGGAAAATGCATTAGAATTAACGATTTGCTGTACGTTGGGGGAATTACAGGTCGCGTATTTACTTGATAGGGAGGAGTGATTGCGGAAGGATTAAGTAACAAGCAAAGGTTAACGAATAGTGGAAGAAATCATGTTACGAAGCATGATGTGTGACAAGGGATTGAATCAATTTCATTATTGCGGGAGTAGTAAAGAGATGTACAATGACGCCGGGAAAATGGATCAGAGTGCCATGGACCTTTTTTTTTTTTAATTGTAAACTCTAACTCATTTCTACTATCATGATCGGCGCATGATGCTACATTCTTATCTTATTTTTTCTCTTATTGTCCTAATCGATTTTTGCCCTACCTGATGTGTTAGGTACCGGTACTGAATTCTCAGTACGTTACCAAATGGGGAAAAAAATATAAAAAAAAAACGCCTTCGGTATGCCATTACAGTTCTCGCTGTTACATGGGGATCGGATTTGTCACTTTAGCCACCAAGTGCAAGCTCGGTGGTCGAGTGGTTAATACACCAGGACCAGGCTAGTCCTGGATGTCGTGGGTTGGAT